GGCGAGGTTGTGGTTAGAACGCTTGGTTGAGTGAGTGCATCAGACGAGACGATGAAGAAGAAGAGCTGCTGCAGAGTTAGTACATCAGAGAAAACCAAGAGCAGCAGCTGCTGTGCTGTAGCGTCAAATTTTCGGCATGTCTAGAACAATTCTTACAAGTATAACACAACGTAGCTGGGCACTGGCGCTTGGCGCCGGTTTGCTACACTCATAGAAAATAATGTATTTGAATTTTAAAGCCGTGGCGCGACACTGCGCTTCTCGTCCGGTGTGCGACCGACCGCCTGAAACGCTGTTTTTTCTTCTCCGTGTCCAAACGTCTTTGTTTGGGCTTCCGAAAGCGGATGATGTCAGGAAACACTGGTTGCAATTTACTTTTTAACTCTGTTCCTGAGCATTATAACCCCAATTTGCTATTGTGTGCTGCGCATTGTACTGAAGACAGCTGCCACATCACGAGTGTGAAGTGCCGGATTCCCAAAAGCTTTTGTTGAAAGACGGAGCAAGAGGTGCGGCAGTACTGAAACACCGTCTAAGCTGTTCGCCAATCACAACGCACTGGGACAGCTAACCAATCACAACACATTTTGTTTTTCGGAAGGCGGAGCTTCATCAAAGCCGGAACTAATCGAGCCGTTTGTGCCAGCCTGGGGAGAAAGGTATTGTAATAATGTAAATTATATGAAAAAATAATGCGTTTTTCGAACCACCGAGCATGAGAGCTACATTGTGTTCTTTTAAAACTCGAGCAGCCATCAGAGGTTTGCAGTAAACGCACACAAGCTCACCTCCACATTGGAGTCGCTAATAACATGCACTTGGGCCACAGAAACAAGCACAGCAATCCTGAAAGCCCTTTTTATTCGCAATTCGCAATTTCATCAGGATATTAAAAAGACACAGAATTTAGAATCAGTTATGAAGGATGTGCGTTTAGCTTTTCACCTTGCTTGAGCGGGAGGAAGAGCCAGAGCCATGGAGTGAACACCTGCTTCACTGGGCATCTTCTGCATCTGTGTATCTGCAGTGAGGGCCACCCCTGAAAACATTAGGAGGAAAAAAAACTCCATTAGGCCAGTTCTGTGTAACTGATTTAAATGCTCGCAGGATTAAACGCTCTTACCCGGAGCAGATGGATACGGATGAGTTCCGGTCACCAAATAATCTGGACTAGCATCTGAATAAATCAAGAACAACAATTACAGCGAACTGAGAAGTCAGTGTTGCTATTTCACTAACAAACTTTTTGTTTAGTCACTAAAGCAACATTAAAGGGGTCATATGATGCGAGTTTTCCGTTCTCTTCGGAGTGTTACAAGCTCTTGGTGCATAAAGAAGATCTGTAAAGTTGCAAAGACTAAAGTCTCAAATCCAAAGAGATATTCTTTATAAAAGTTCAGAGTCAGCCACACCTACCTAAAACGGCTCGTTCTAACACGCCCCCACATGTCTACGTCACTATGTGGGAAGATTTGCATAACGCCGCCCAAATGTTCACGCAAAGAAAGAAAGCGTAACTTTTATTCTCGCTGTAGTATTGTTGCCGCCGCCATGTCGTGAAGGCGCTGTGTGCTTCGTTGTGAAAGCAAAACTACTTTGTTGGACTTCCAAAAGAGGACACGACTAGAAATCAGTGGTTAAGTTGTATTTACAACACTGTTCCAGAACACTTCAACCCAAATATTCAGATGTGTGCAGCACATTTTATGGAGGACTGTTTCCTGATCCTGGGAGAGTAGACTACAATG